GCGAATGCAGAAAAGCGAGCCGCCGAGCGTCTGCGCAGGAGCCCCCGAGCTCGACCCGCACGGGGGAGCTGCGCTGGCCGCTGCGGCCTGCAGGAGCCGCCTCCAGCCTCCTCCAGCCTCCTCCTCCTCTTCCTCCTCCAGCCTCCTCCTCCTCCTCCTCCCTCCTCCTTCCTCCTCCTCCTCCTCCTCCTCCTCCTCCTCCTCCTCCTCCTCCTCCCTCCTTCTCCTACTCCTCCTCCTTCTCCTCCTCCTTCTCCTTCTCCTCCTCCTCCTGTGAGCAAAAGTGCACGCACGAAGTGGTGCCGAGAACGTTCAGAACGGCCGCCGGAGACCCGAGTTGCGGTCGGGAAACCAAGTATTCGGAGGAGGGCTTGTTGTGGTGGGTTAGTGGGGATTCGGGGTCACCGCACTGATTTGGGTCTGATTCGTTGTCCCAGGACTTCTTGGGCGACCAGGGCCTCCGAGGTCCCAACACCGCGCTGTGACGGAACGTGCGGTGAGGTCCTCTTTAGGTATTCCAGGACCCCAAAGTTGAGGGAATGTGGGCCTGATATGTTTCGCCGTCTTTCAGATTTTGGGAGCTTTCCCAGGGCCCCAGAGCTGTCAGGAAACGGCTGAGGCTGATGATGATGAGGATCCTCGGGGCGGACGAGAGGAGACAAGGGAAATGGGGGGTATTGGGATGCAACTCCTTGCATGTGAAATTCGGCGTCGGCACTGGTATACGCGTGGGCGAAAATAAGTCTAATCCGGCACAATGCAGTGCACTCTATTTAAATCCCTTCCAGTCTAGCCTTGAGAGGTCTGGAGCCCGTTTTTTAATTGCTTGGGGCATGACGGGCGTCATGGCCCCGCTCCCCCCCTTTGACGTACTGCTCTGCTCCCCGCCCCCAGTGCGCTCCGGGCACTGCCGCCGTGCCCATAGGGATCCGCGCAGGTGTCCGCATAGGAATCCGTATAGTAGTGTCGCCGTCGTCGTGGCTCGTCTCTCGTCGCTCGTCGCTCATCGGCGTCGTGCGCGCGGACGCGGCTGGAGCCTGTTTTGAAGTCCAGGCCGATGATGGCAGAATGACCGAGGACGGGTAGCACCAGCACGTTTGTGGCGATCTGCACCACAGCGCCTTTGTACACCACAGTGCCTGCGTGCACCACAGCGTCTGTGTACACCACACTGCCTATGTACACCACAGCAGCAGCGTGCAACGCAGCGCCAGGTTGTGCCACCGTGCCTGCGGGCACAACAGCTCTTGTGTACACCACAGCGCCTGCGTACACTACACCAGCCGCGTGCAACACCGCAGCGCGTGCACTGCAGCGCCCGAGCGGGGTGGTGACTGCACCGTGCGGTGAGTCGGTGGGGGTTTGGGGTCGCCGCACGGTGTATGGGCTCGGGTCCCACTCCGAGGACGTCTCTGGCGACGTGTGCCTCCGGGGGTCCCGAGGCCGCGCGGCGGCGGACCGTGCGGCGAGGTCTCGGGGGATGTCGAGGTCACCGCACGGTCTGTCACCGCACCCTCTCGGCGTTTCCAAATCCTCCCCCGTGGTCAGAGGATGCGCGCGGCCGCCCTGCTGCCGGCGGGCGCGCTGGAGGCGCTGCTGCGCGCGCAGCGGGCGCAGCTCGCGGGCGAGGCTAGCGTGCCCCTGGACGAGCGGCGGACTTCGGCGGGGAGATATTTTCGGAGGTTGATAGACCTTCTAACCTGACACGTCGATTCGGGAATTGGCCGTTCTCGGTTCGCGAGAGGGCGTCGCGGCCGTCATTTTTGCGGGTCCAGGTCCGTCGGTTTCGGTCCCAGGCCGCTTTCACTAAAGGGCTGTTTACTGAATGGAATTTTGCCCACCGCCGATGTTTGAGGAGCAAGGGATCACGATCATGATGCGTTCCAGAACTTTTGGGGGAATTCCCAGGTTCGGGGGAGCGTAAGACCCGGGTTTGCCAGGACTCGGGTTCGCCATCGTTTTTTGACGACCGCGCCTCGGATTTTGACGAGGAAAAGTTTCGTGGGATGTCTGCAGCGGGAGGCCTCGTCAAAATGCAGGCTCGGCCTCGTCATTTTTTGAGGACCTCGTCGGGGATTTCCCAGTTCCCTGTACCCAGGTCTTACGTCCCCCTGACTGGAGCGCATCCCGAGCGCAGCGCGCCATCGCACCGCCCTCCTCCCGGGAGAGAGAGGAGGCCGAGGCCCTCCCAGGGTCGAGGCTGGAGGTCTTCGTGGGTTCTCGGCGGTCTGCGGGCCCTCGGGGTGCCCTCCGCCAGCTGCGCCTCGCCGAGGGCGTTTTGGAGGAGTGCCCACATCGCTCCGAACGGCCGCGGGAGAGCCGGAGAGCCGAGCGGTGGCCCTCTCGTCGTCGTGAAACAGTGAGACTGTTGTTGTTTACCTTCTGGGCCACATCGCGCGTTGAGCCCCCTGCCCTCCCCCCCCATAACGTAACTTCCCCCCCCCCTCAGTGCGTCCCCCGCACTGCCGCAGTGCGTCCGGCACTACAGGCACTACAACCTGGGGGGGGGGCGCTACAGGATGCCCCTTCCCGTCCCCCCCTCCTCCCTCCCAATACGCCCGTCATGGCTGCGAATGCCAAAAAAATGCGCTCCATGGTGATGGGCGATTTTCTGTTATGGTCTGCCTCTGAGGGCTCTCGACCGGCCCCGGGACCGTCAAAAAATGGCCCAGGATGAAGACTAGTGCCAGGGAAGGGGTCGAGACCTCTGGGGTCCACGTTTTGAAAAAAAATCGTGACGTCGAAGTCCATGACCAAGGCTGACCAGGGGACAGAAACGTTGGTGCAGATCTTGGTCACCGTCCATCTTGGTCACCGTCGATGCGTGGATCACTCTCGCGAGTCGGACACGGCTGGCATGGACCACGACGGAGATCGGCGTCGACAAGACTCCCCGACGTGCTGTCCGCGGTCAGCGTGTCTCTTCCCTCGAGGACGGCCCTGTTGGCGAGCGCCTGCTCGCTGGGGCACTTCGGGGCCCCAGAGGCGGCCGACGCCCTCTTCGACGAGCTCCTCGGGCGCGTCCTGGCGGAGGGGCTGACCGCGGAGAGCCCGGAGACTAAGAAGCGGCCCCGGCACGCTGACGGGCCCGTTTTCCGCCACCACCACCAGAAGTTGGCGGGGCAGGGGGTCCTCCTCCTCCTCCTCCTCCTCCTCCTCCTCCTCCTCCTCCTCCTCTTCGTCCTCCTCCCGTCCTCCTCCTCCTCCTCCTCCTTCCCCCCTCCTCCTCCTCCTTGTCCTCCTTCCCCCCTCCTCCCCTCTCTCCTCCTCCTCCTCCTCCTCCTCCTCCTCCTCCTCCTCCTCCTCTCCTTCTTCGTCTCCTCCTCGTCCTCCACCTCCTCCTCCTCCTTCCCCCTCCTCCTCCTCCTGTCCTCCTTCCCCCCTCCTCCTCCTCCTCCTCCTCCTCCTCCTCCTCCTCCTCCTCCTCCTCCTCCTCCTCCTCCTCCCCCTCCCCCCCTCCAACTTCTGGTGGTGCTGGTGGAGAGCGGGCCCATCACGTGCGGCAGCTTCGCGTCGTGTCGACGCGTCGGCGGCCTCTGCCGCGGGCGTGCCAAGGTGTTCCGCGCCGCCAGCCTGGAGCCGGCAGGGGAGCTTGAGATGGCCCAGCCTACAGGGCTGAGATGGCCCAGCCTAAGTTCGACTAGACGTAAGAGTGACCCTTCGCCGGAGTGACCTTTGGTGCGGGCACAGATGGGTCCCCAGATGGCTGAGAACGAAGCATCGGCAGCTGCTTGCGCGCCCAGGTTTTGTCCCCCCGCGGTCCCCCAAAAGCCGCGCACCAAAGGTCACTCTCACCCAGGGTCACTCTTACGTATAGCCGATAAGTTGGGCCTGTCCTTCTACAGGGGGAATGTCCAAAAATAGTAAAAAAATAGTCTTGGGACTATTTTTTGAATAGTGTGGGACCTCTTTTTGTGTATTGTGTTTGGTATTGTTTGCTTTTCGGCCAACATCCCCCTGTAGGGGGGCAGGCCCGGCCTAAACATTGCGCCGGAGTGACCCTTGGTGCTGACCCAATTGGTCGGAGGTGGATAGACCTCTTGCCCTGACACTTCGATTCAGGAATTGGCCGTTCTCGGTTCGCGAGAGGGCGTCGCTGCCGTCATTTTTGCGGGTCCAGGTCCGTCGGTTTCGGTCCCAGGCCGTTTTCACTAAGGGGAGGTTTACTAAAGGGAGGTTTGTCCACCGCCGAATGGGGTCCCCCGACCGCCGAACGCGATGCGGTAGCAGCGTCTTGCGCGCTTGTGTTCGGTCCCCCCGCGGCTCCCCAGAATCCGCGCACCAAAGGTCACTTTTTACCCAGGGTCACTCTTGCGTGTAGCCGACAGCACGGCTCCCACCAGCAAAAACAGGGGGGAGCAAGGGGGCTCCCTCGTCGCCACGGCTGGACGCAGCAGCAAGAACTGGACAGTTTCAACCCCAGGAGGGGTCTGGAGTCCGGTTTTGAGCGGTGTGGCCGTCATCCCCCTTTGTTGTCTAACGCTTGGGCCTGCTCAGCTCACGCCAGGGGGCCAGAATCGGCCAATGTGGAACGACCTGCCGACTCGAGAGTCGCCGACCCTTCGAGGCGGAAGGGCCCACGCGGTGTCAGGGACCAGCGCTGGGGTCGTCACGACACGAGCCTGCCGTAAGCCGTCGTCGGATGCCCGCGCGTGCTCCTCGGGGTCGGATGCTTCCTGCGGGGTCCCGCGCCGACCCGAGGAGCCCGCGCGGACCTCGGGACCACGGCTCGCAAAGCTCTCCGAGCGTGTTCCACTGCTCGCAAAGCGCCTGCGTACTCGCAAACGCCCCAAACAGAAACATGCCTGCCTCGATCTAGGGGAGCGTAAGTCTCCCTCGGCACACCCAGACCACTTGCGAGCAGTCCCTTCTGCGAGCAGTGGAACGCGCTCGTCTAGAAACGCCGCTTGCACTCAGGAACGGTTCTCGTTTGTCCCTCCTCCCTCCTCCCACCTCCCACCTCCCTTCTTCGTCGTCGTCGTCGTTGTTTCTTTCGTCGT